CTGAAGACTGGAGTAATGATGCTGAAAATGCAGCTTTGCATCACAGGAATAAATGACATTTTAAAACATATTCAAATAGAAAATTGTCATTTTAAATTAAAATAATAATTCACAAAATGACTGTTTTTGCTGTGTTCATAAAGAATTAAATGCAGCCTTGGTGGCCATAAGAATCTTAAAATAAGAGTTTTTTTTTTTTTTTACTGATTGCCATTGGTAAACATTGGATATTTAATCATTTTTACTTTGAGATTACCTTTGCCATCATCTCATACTCATTTAAAGTTGATAATTTAATAATAAACTAATATATCTTTGATTTGTTTCAAAGCAGCTTCACAGTAATAAATAGAAAAGTAATGTTGCACAATTCTTCATTTCACAATTCAGTTTCAGCTGTAAAGCAACTCTACAGAAAACAATAGTGTGATCAGTTCAATGAATGATTTAATTCAGTTCCGTTGCATTGTCAGTGTTGCAAAGATCATCAATTATGAAACAAATTTGATTAAATTAAAGCAGGTTTACAGTAGTAAATAGTGTCATTATCCAGCTCAGTTCAAGTTTTGTTCTCATCCGATGGTGTCAGTGCAGTCATATCAATAATATTACTCCGTTTTAATTGTCTTTTAAACCCAAATGAGCAAGCCAAAGGTGACCAAAACTGAACTGGTGTAGAATTTTACAATTGGCCATTTATTGATTGAAAATAATTATCAGTTATTTTTTAAGCATCCATAATGATAATATTGGTGGATTTTCCTAAACATTTCACAATTTCGCACTCTCTTTCTCTCAAACACACAGCCTCCAATGGATCTGAACATCACGTCTCCTAACTTCTTCAAGGGCTGCCTGGAGTTATTAAGTCTAAATGAAGAACTAGTCAGCCTCTATAACTTTGAGCAAAACTTGCAAATGAGCACCACAACTGACCTCCCTTGTTCACGGTCAGAGGGGTTTCATTTATTATTTATTAAATCATATAATCTGTGTTAACCTCTTTGCGAGAGTGCGTTCCTTGTCAAATCGCTTCGTGTGTTTGAACAGGAAGAGGCCAGCAAATACGCCCGAGTGGGGAGTTAACGGAGTGTATTTTGATGGTTCGGGCTATGTTGAGGTTTTGTTCGAAACTCTGAAGGACGACCGTGTGTTTGAGCAGCATGTCAAACTCATCTCGCAAAACGGCATTCTCCTGTTGTTCCAAAGACAGGTGAGACGTGGCCTGCAAAACGTAGGATTTGTGATTGTCTGACGCAGGTTATGGTGTTAATGTCATTCTTTTCCCTTCTCAGGATAAGTATGTGTGCGTAGCTGTGCAAGACGGTCTTCTTAAAGTCCTACATAACCTTGATGGACGGTTGTCCAACTTAACTGACCCACAACAAGAGTCAAATATTAAAATCAGTAATGCACAAGTGAAATTTGTGAGTGAAACCTTCTATTTATTCCAGTAATTTCTCGCATATCTGCTTATCTCTGTAAGGTTGATTTATTTTAATGTTTTCTGTGTTTGTTGTTTTCAGTTGGATGTTATCTTTCAACTTTCGAAAAATGAAATGCTAGTGAGGCTAGATCGTCAGAAGATCTACACGCTTTCCAGCAGAGAGCTCAGCTTCACAGGAAGATATTTCCTGGGCGGAGTGCCAGAGGATCAGATGCCCGAGAGGTGACCATGCAGATATTTCCACAGAGATATTAGATGCAGGGCTGGGGATCCGAGGTAGAATTAACTATCTGTGCATGTCATTGCAGTTTAAAGAGTGTGTTTCATAAACACGGCTCCATAAAGGGCTGCTTCAGGACCGTTAAGGCCATGAAAAGCTTTGTTCAAATGAAGACCATGAAGAGTGCAGGGATCAGCTATGGCTGTCCAGATGACCTGCTGGTGAGCGTCTTCATACTTGTTTCTTCAGGTTGGGAATCTACATACAAATAATGCTAATGATTCCGGAACATCTGTGTACGATGAGGGAATATACTTACATTCGCACTTAGTTCATTGTGAAAAACGAGGCCTCCAGAGTCCAGGGTGTGAAGTAACGAATCCAGCTATGGTAAAGGCCCTGATGTACTTCAAGAAAAATCTTCAAACAAAGTGGATCTATTTTCTAAATGCATGTTATTGATCTTATTGTGAACAATTCATCCATGCATGTTTTTTTTTTAATGATTTCTTCAGTCAGTTAGTCCACTTAAACCCTTTTCTTTGTTTGATAAGCCATTGTAATGGAGATGTGCATCACAATATGCAAGAAAAGATCTGTCTCTACTTCCGTTTCCTCGTAACTGTAAGAACAAAGTTGCATTATGTCATTTCTAATGAAATCTGGCCGATACGAAAGTTTATTTAGTTGCTCTGAAAACAGCTGGTTAACAGCTGTTAAACACTTTCTAACTGCCTTTAGTCCAAGATGGGTGTGACCGCTTACTTTGATGCAAACATCATTTCCAGTTCATTTCTTCACTCAGTCCATTACATTTGTATATTTAAATGCTTCGCACCCAGCAACACGGGTGTCCGAATTTTTGCAACCAGTATAACACATTTCTTTTTAACAAATAACGTCTGTGTGAGTATACCCAAGCCTTTAGCTTAAGAAATATGATTTAGGCCATGCCAATATTACTTGACTAGACACTTTGTTAAAATATGTAACAAAGCAAAGGAACAAATTGAAATGGTTAATAGCAAATGATCTTTTTTAGAATTGTTATTACTGTAAACATGCTAAAATAACCACGCTTAAATAAGCCACTATGAGAACGGAGTTATTAAATGAATCTAGATAATAAACCAGAATCGCGCAGCGGATTCAGAATCTGTAAATTCCTTATGATTCCCAACCCTACTGATTTCCACCATATATGATTTCTCCTGTATTAAGACGTGTTTATGTGTGTTTGTGTTGTGTGCCAGTTTACCCGTGAGGCTCATTTCACTGGTGAAGGTTACCTGAGCTTGAAAATGGACAATGTACTGGATCATCCAGACAACTTCTATGCTGGAATCGGCTTCAGGACAGATCAGCAAAACGGGCTCATGTTTTACCGGCAAGGCCAGGTACAAATTACACTGGTTACAGTTTGACATACTGACTATTGAAGACACTTGCAGCCATTGTCAAAGTCTGTGTTTGTGTTGGTCTCCTCAGAGTGATGTGTGTCAGGTGGTCTTGTCAGGCGGTAATGTAGTAGTCCGTGCTGGCAATAATGAAGTCACTTCTCAGAAGACGTATAACGATGACAACAGTCACTATGTTGCATTTTACCGCACAACAGAAGGGTATGCCACTATATGTTTGTTATAAATGTACAATCAAATTGTGTTTGTGACCATTTCTGCCTCCGTTTAGGTTACGCGTTTATATAGACGATGTTCTTGAGAGTGGAGGAGGAACTGGCAGTGCGGCCAACATCAGCGCGGTGCTACAGCCTGGCATTACTTATGTGGGCGGCATACCGGAGTCAGACGGCCTCACCGGCTGCCTCACTAACTTCTTCATAAAGAGGTGTGTGATGCAGAGAGAGGTGTTAGAAATAGATTAATGGAGGGAAATTCTAATGAATGATCAATTAAATCTTATCACAACAGAAGGGTATGCCACTATATGTTTGTTATAAATGTACAATCAAATTGTGTTTGTGTACATGGTTGTGACCATTTCTGCCTCCGTTTAGGTTACGCGTCTATATAGACGATGTTCTTGAGAGTGGAGGAGGAACTGGCAGTGCGGCCAACATCAGCGCGGTGCTACAGCCTGGCATTACTTATGTGGGCGGCATACCGGAGTCAGACGGCCTCACCGGCTGCCTCACTAACTTCTTCATAAAGAGGTGTGTGATGCAGAGAGAGGTGTTAGAAATAGATTAATGGAGGGAAATGCTAATGAATGATCAATTAAATCTTAAACCTGAATGTATAAGCTTTATGAAAAGGTGCAGTTAGATCAGCTTTTAGGTAGGCGTGGCTGACTCTTAACTTTTATAAAGAATATCTCTTTGGATTTGAGACTTTAGTCTTTGCAACTTTACAGATCTTCTTTATGCACCAAGAGCTTGTAACACTCCAAAGAGAAAGCAAAAATGCCAAAATGACATACCTGTTTTAAACTGCGTCTCTGCAGGCCACACATCTCTGTGGGTGTGCGTGTGAACTCCTCGAGTGGACTGATTTTCCATGTGGCGGGAGGGAAGAGCCAGAGGATCATGACGCTCTCTGTGTTTGATGGCCATCTGATGCTGATAGTCACCGGCGGAAAGAAGACCAGCATACGCAGCAAAAAGAAATACGACGACGGCCTGTGGCACATGGTTCGTATGTGGGTCAGGCATGTTTTTAGACAAATTTGTGATTTTTTTTCTTTCCATATCTCTTATTTTCACAATGAACTGGTGCAGGTGTTTGTGCGAGTGGAGGCTGACCGGGCATCTCTGACGGTGGATGGCATCGAGATGCAGAGGAAGAGGGTGACGGGCGGAGGGAAGAGCGTGTTTGCTGCTCCTCTCTATATCGGTGGACTTCCCTCAGACCACAGTGCAGCTATGGTAAACACTGTCTTACACCAACCATGTTCAAAACCAGTGAACTGCCATGCTGTCTTCTGCTTTACACAGTGACTGAAGTGAAATGATCAACATGGGCAATAACTCAACGGGTCACAAATATTGCAAAGCGAACATTAGGCTGATGTTAGTTGCTAAGCTAACAGTGCGATACACTAATAAGTACACACAAATGTTGGATAAGATCATCTCTTTTTAATTGGATTGACTGTTTTATTTTATTTTTTTTTGTGCATTTTTTCATTTTCATTGAAATGCAGGTCTCCGACTACCATGTTTTATTTTATTTTAATCAAAATAATAATTTTATTTTAAGAACACACACACATATATTTCTATTAATATTATATATTTTTATTTACTAAATAATCATAGTATTTTAATAGGAGTTTGATGTTAGCATGAAAAAAAACCTTTTTAATTACATTGAACTATTTTATTGCTATTTTTATTTTATTTGAAATACAGGTCTTGATCCACCATATTATATTTTATAAACTTTTACAAAAATGTAACTAAATAATGCAAAGCAAACAAGAGACTTGATTCACAATAATTTTGATGTCAGTATGTTGCTATTCTAATAATGCCATACTCGAATAAGCACACACAGAGATCTTTTTTTTTAATTAGCTTGAACTATTTTTACTGCTGTATTTTTCATATTAAATATACACAAAGGTTATTTTATTTTATTGTAAAAAAAAAAAAAAGTCAAGTTACCACATTGTTTTAGTAAGTACATAAATATGTTTATTTTATTGTGAATATTATATTGTTTTAATATAATATTATTTTGCTAGTATGAATTCATATTCCAAATATGCATAAAATATTTTTATTAATAATTTTTTTTTATAATAAAGTGGATATTTTATCACATCTGTTGGTGAATATACAGAATAAACCTCAAGGAAGTTTGAGAAGTCAAGCTTTATTTTGAATATTATAGGTCAGGATTTTTTCCATTAAGGATATATTTAATGATTTTGTAGAAGGCAGCATAATGAAGTTCGGAGCCGCCTTCAGTTCAGGAGTGCACTCATGAGACTCTAAAAAGCTGTTTTTTTGGGCAGCTCACTGTGTTTAGGAACCGAGATTGTACAGATCTGAACATATTCACAGAGATATACCTTCGTGATGTGATGTGACTTTTCTTTCTATCCGTTTCTCTCTTTCAGGCTGGTTTCGTTGGCTGTGTGCGGGATCTGAAGCTGAACGAGGTGCTGGCACAGAGCCCCTCTCACAGTGTGGGAGTGACACCCTGCTACCAGCAGCCCCTCCAGCCCGGGGTTTACTTCTCCAGTCAGGGAGGATATCTGACCATCGGTGAGCCATCAATCAAACCATCAGATCAGACACACTTCAGATTTCATTCACAAAGACGGTGGACAACACACCTTGTTTAGTGCGCCTCTCTCTCTCATGCTAGACGAATCGCTGGTGTTAGGCCGGGACCTCGAGATCCTTTTGGAGGTCCGTCTGGTTTCAGACTCTGGGCTCCTGCTGCACACTGGAGTCAGAAAAACTCAACAGCTGAGTCTCTATCTGAACCAGGGCCAGGTGACACAGCCATGCACTCACACACATACATGCAATAAGTTACCCGTAACTCTTACAAGTTTAAATCATTTTCAAATGAGAGTTCAGGGAATGTCAACAGATTTCATTTCGGGTTGGTGGTGCTCCCTGAAGGCCAGTGGGATGAGTTTGTTTGTTCTGTGCAGGTGACTGTGTTGGTGAACAGTGGCAGTGGAGAGTTCTCAGTCAGTCTCACACCAGAAGAGTCTCTCTGTGACGGAGGATGGCACACTATTGCAAGTGAGTTGAAAAACACGAACACAACCATACTGCATTTAACCCGTGGTCTGTTTGAAAAAATGCATGTTATTTTGGGTCAGATTTTATAAAATGGGGTTGTACTTTGGTTTCCAAATAAAATAAATACAAAGGCATTTAGCACTTAAGGTTCCCCACTGGTGGACGAAGTACACAAATCTAGTACTTCATTGAAAGTGCTCATATTCAATTTTACTTATGTATTTTTTGTGTACTTCAGTATTAAAACTTAAAAGTACTGATTGATGAACCATGTTTATTATTTATTTTGGCCAGCACTAGTCATTACTCAGACTTTAAATATTTATCTACCAATTTTATTAGCAAACCTTTTTTATACACCATCAAAACAAACTTAAGTATACTAAAATCTCTATTTAAGTTACACTGCAAAGTGTGCAAACAAGTGAAATAATATGCCATATAGTATTTTAGAAATAAGGGGAAAACCAATTGTGGCAAACAACAGTATAAAAATACTTTGACAGAAGTCAAATGGGGTTAGTTCACCCAGTTACTCACACTCATGTCGTTTCAACCCTGCGTGAGTATCTTTCTTCTGTTGAACACCGTTATTCTGAATAATGTGGGTAACCAAAAAGGGTAACACTTTATTTCGATAGTCCACTTTAGACATTCTATTAACAGTAAGTAACTTTGCAACTACATGTCAACTAGCAGTTAGTAGAGTATTAGTAGACTGTCTGCTTAATATCTTCTAACACTTTCTTTGTCAACTTATTCTACTAACCCTAAACCTACCCTAACAGTCTACCCTGAGAGTTAGTAGACATGTAGTTACAAAGTTACTTATAGTTAGTAGAATGTCTACAGTGGACTATCGAAATAAAGTGTAACCCCAAAAAGTTGTTGGTATCCATTGAGTTTGGATACCAAAATTGTTCTTAACTTTTTATCATGTCCCTTTAACATTTTAAAAGGAAAGCTATGCAAACATACTAATTTTATAAATTGTTTGAAACTGTAGGAAGATGCATGAGAAGTAATTTGTGTTATCTTAAAGTAATTTTAGTAATAGTCATGCATTTCAGTGGGCAGCTTAAACAGCTTAGCTTCTTACAGCAGATTCAGTTCACAAATAACTGACAGTCATGACCTAATTACAGTAACTTACAGTAATCAATTCTAAAGTAACTTACAGTAATCAATACTAAAATTCAGCATTAGTAAATTTTGCTTTTCCTTCACTACATTCCAAAGCATTATTGTGAAAGTTTCCCAAAATAAAAATACTCTGATAAAATAGTATTTTAATTTTTTTACTGCAATTTTGTCCATCTTTTTTTTTTTTTTACTTTTCATCTGGTTCTAAACCTGACCTGAACAGAACAGAAGGATTAAAATATATAGATACTTCATAAGCAATGTATTTGCCATATACTTTCACACTTGAATATTGATATAATATATATATATATATATATAATGATTTTAGTTGTGAAGAAGAGCAATGTCATCCAGCTACATGTGGATGCGGCGAGTGAACATGGAGTGGGTCCCAAACAGAGCCGGTCGAACGGGGGCAAAGAGACTGTTTATCTGGGCGGCGTGCCAGGTATGACATCTGAACGCTACCAAATCAACATTTATAATTCCTGACAAGAGAACATGCAGCTGGCAAATCAAGAATGATCATTAACTAAATGAACCGAAAACAGAAAAGAATAAATCCCGCACACTGTCCACACTTTACTGAGTGAGTGAATAAATGGATATTTTGATGCATTTGCAAATGCAGAGTGTGCAGGATTTATTCTTTTGTTTCAATGTTTTTTTTCCCCATGTCTTTTTTCCTGCGTACCTATCGATTAAGCTAAATGAACCAAAATCTTACATTGAAATGTGAACGACTGAGGAGTGATAATCCGTGTTGACATAAGCCTGTTGTCCTCTGGTGTGCAGATACTATAGTGGTCCCAGGTCTCCCGTCCACCGTCCTCTCTTTCCACGGATGTGTGAGGAAAACCGTACTGAACCACAGGCCTGTCATGCTGTCAAAACCCCTGTCAGTGTCTGGATCTGTGGGGACTCAGGGCTGCCCTGCCTTATAGACCACAGCTGCATTAACCCTACATACACTCACACTATCAAATCAACAGGTGGTGGGTTTGCTTAGCGTTTAATTTAAACCAGTATTTATGTTATCTTCATGACACCCGTGTATGTAATTTTATTAAAAAGCACTGTAAGTGATGAGACACCACTGATAAACTATAATGTTCAGAACTGCAGGGACCAGCGGAATATAGAGATGGATTGGCACCATATTCATATCGTTCCAGGTTGTTTAATTAGTACATTTCATTGATACAATCTTGACCAAACACCATTAAATGGGTTTTATGGGAGTATTTAGTTGTATAAAAACACTGGAGGGCAATTTAATGTGGATCCATGTTTCCATGTGCATTCATTGTGTATCATCTGAAATCACTGGAGTTGAAAACTCGAGAAAAATTATTTTTGTCACTTTTGATATTTTGTCAGATTTCCTCAGTTGTATTTTTATTGGCAATAAACATTTCTTTCATGTTTCATGTCACATTTTACTCACTATTTGTTTAATAGTGTAGCTTTGGACATACAAAACACGTACGAGAATCCGTGAAGGAGTACAGGCAAACAACCCAGACTAGCATGAGACACACCTCAGAGAGACGACTGTGTTCAGAAGGTTGTTCTAATCCAAGCTCATGTCTTCGTCATCATCTTTCTTGTCTTTGGAATCGCCGTCATCTGTCTTGCTATCACTGCCCTCCATGGCCTTGGCAAACGCCTCCACATCTAAACACCAGGACAAAGCAAATGAGTGCTTGGGGGTACGGAACATGAAACAGTTATTACAAATGATGAAAACTTGAACTTAAGATATGCATATAAATTTGAATTGAAATAGTATGTTGATTGATGGACGTGTTGCACATCTCACCTCCTTTATTAGCGGCGTCCACTGCTTCAGAGGGCAGACCAAACTGGTTCATGAGAGGGCCGAGCTGACCAGAGGCCAGAGCACTGCTGAACATACTCATGGCCTGCACGGATACAGACACACTGCGTTTACATCAAAGCAGAATATTATATCAACAAGTCCAAGGCAAATATTTATGGAGATTCCCACAAATTGCTTTTGTAAATCACTACATATGCCTGGCAAGGTTTCATAAAATAAACACACAACAACGAAGTCTTAATTCATTGATGACAAATAGCAATTCTTCTGCCAAGCAATGTTTTCAGCCAACATTTAGCAGAATGGTCTTTTACAAACGCTTCAAATGCGGCTCGGCCAATTATAATAAGGACTGTAACTATCCATTTTATCTTTAACTTTTTTTCCAATTTATGATGGGCGGCAACTAACATTAAGGTGCAATTCCATCTGTGCTACTCGTATGGAGGTTTTTTTTTTCTTCATCAGTGAAATTAATGTATTATATATGACCCTGGACCACAAAACCAGTCTTAAGGGTCAATTTTTCGAAAAACCGAGATTTACACCATACAAAAGCTGAATAATAATACGATTTCCATTGATGTATGGTTTGTTAGGATAGGACAATATTTGGCAGAGATACAACTATTTGAAAATCTGAGGCTGCAAAAAGAAAATCTAAATATTGAGAAAATCGCCTTTAAAGTTACCCAAATGAAGTCCTTAGCAATGCATACTACTTATCAAAAGTTAAGTTTTAATATATTTACAGTAAGATATGTACTAAATATCTTCATGGAACATGATCTTTACTTAATATCCTAATGATTTTTGGCATAAAAGAAAAATCAATAATTTTGACCCATATAATGTATTTTTGGCAATTGCTACAAATATACCCCAGCGACTTAAGACTGGTTTTGTGCTCCAGGGTCACATTATTTCAATTTTTTTTTATAAATATATATATATATATATATATATATATATATATATATATACACACAGTGGGT